ATCTTTTATGGGTTGATATACTTAGTTCACTATAAACAATGCTCTGATATCAATCTGTCACACCCCCAAACCAGAACGACGAAAATGTTCGGGGGCGGATGACGTCATGTGCAGTATCACAACAATTGTATAATAGTATTCAAAGCAACAATAACCATTGTATTAATAATATATAATTTACATTGTGTCCAAACATTGCCTGTTTAACATTAAAACTATAGCAAAAGATAAGACGTGATGCTACTATCTTCCGTCTTCATAACGCCTGATAGGGTACATGTCTACTAATTTTCCTGAGAATACAAGTGGTTTGAAAAAGTGTCAACATTAAAGTTGGTGAGTTCATAAGCATTTTTGTTATAGAAAGTATATTCTTTGTTCTTTGAAAATGTTTGTGTGATCCTCCAGAAAATCTTATATTTTCTTAATAACAAATATGATCATACTAGTTCCTTCTACGATCAGTTAGTTTGTACTAGCTATATATAAACTAATATAGAACATACATTTGAATGTGTGGATCTGCCCTAAGCCTATAACCCAACAAGGAACAGGAAGTAAGGCGGAAATCACACATTCCACAGCTTGTCGGATATTATTTATATATAACTCTGATGTATAAGCTAAGGAACCATAGAATTAACAATGAAGAGTCATTTATATTATACTAGTTTGTTAATAAGCGTTGAACCTTTTGTAAATATGTTCCTAGTTCCACCCGCTCTACTGTAAAGTATTGTTTTCGGTAAGTAATCGTATTTGTTTCCAGAAATTTGAATTGTAAAATGTTTGCTTGTAAAATAACGATGTTTATCCTGGAAAATCCTATATTTTCCATAAAACCGAATTGTAGTCTTAAACGTTCCAAGACTGAAAAGTACAATTATAATTTCCATACTTAATTTAATGATACGTAGTTTTACTCTATAAGTAAAACTAGCTGAAGATGTGTTTGCCCTGTAAATTAGATGTGATGTTAATACCCTCCTATGATCACTTAGTACATACGAGTTGTATATAATCGAGATCGAACAGACAATCGAATGGGTGATTCTACCCTAAGCCCACAACCAAACAAGGAACAGGAAATAATGCGGAAATCACACATTCCACTGTCTACCAGACATTAATTTTATATAACCCTGATGTATATGCTAAGTAATCACAAAGTTAATACCCCTTAAGACTATTTAAAAAGTACTACGTAATGTATCGTTGTTTCTCCACGTGAGTTCTTATAACCATACTGTAACCTAAGATGGCCTGACCGCGACGTTCTTCAGGCGTTGTAATGTTAACGACATTTGTCACCCCAGGCCTGTCGGCCTAACTGTAGCTAACAGTTAAGGTGCGGGATTGTCAGTCCCATATAGATCTATACACAAATATATCGCTCTCCCTACAAGAGACTTTGGTTATAAGTCAGGACTTGGTTGGTACTTAGGTAAGTACGCGAAGACGTCTCACAAATTGCTTCAACGAGTTTACTAGTAATAA